AGGAGTAAGGCAGGTCTGTTGGTGACAGAATCCCTCAGCATTTGCTTGTCTGTAAAGGATTTTATTTCTCCCTCGCTTATGAAGCTTAGTTTGGATAGATTTGAAATTCTGGGTTGAAAATCCTTTTCTTTAAGAATGTTGAATATTGGCCCCCCACCCTCTTCTGGCTTGTAGGGTTTCTGCAGAGAGATCTGCTGTGAGTCTGATGGGCTTCCCTTTGTAAGTAATCTGACCTTTCTCTTTGGCTGCCCTTAACATTTTTTCCTTTGTTTCAACCTTGGAGAATCTGACGATCTTGTGTATTGTAATTGCTTTTCCCAAGGAGTATCTTAGTGGTGGTCTCTGTTTTTCCTGAATCTGAATGTTGGCCTGTCTTGCCAGGTTGGGGAAGTTCTCCTGGATAATATCCTGAAGTGTGTATTCCACCTTGGTCCCATTCTCCCTGTCACTTTCAGGTACACCAATCAATCATAGGTTTGGCCTTTTCACATAGTCTTATATTTCTTGGAAGCTTTGTTCCTTTTCATTCTTTTTTCTCTGTTTTCGTCTTTAAGCTTTATTTCATTGAGTTGATCTTCAATCTCTGATATCCTTTCTTCCACTTGATCAATTTGGCTATTGATACTTGGTGTATGCTTCACAAAGTTCTCATGCTGTGTTTTTTAACTCCATCAGGTCATTTATGTTTTTCTCTAGTTAGCAGTTCCTGTAACCTTTTATCAAGGTTCTTAGCTTCCTTGCATTGGGTTAGAACATGCCCCTTTGTCTCAGAGGAGTTTGTTATTACCCACCTCCTGAAGCTTACTTCTCTCAATTCATCAAACTCATTCTCTGTCCAATTTTGTGCCCTTGTCAGAGAGGAGTTGTGATCATTTGGAGGAGAAGAAGCATTCTGGTTTTTGGAATTTTCAGCATTTTTGTGCTGGTTTTTCCTTATCTTTGTGGATTTATCTACTTTTGATCTTCAACGCTGATGGCCTTTGGATGGGGTTTTTGTGTGAGCATCCTTTTGGTTAATGTTGATGTTATTGCTTTCTGTTAGTTTTCCTTCTAATAGTCAGGCCCCTCTTCTGCAGGTCTGCTGGAGTTTGCTAGAGGTCCACTCCAGACCCTGTTTGCCTGGGTATCACCAGCAGAGGCTGCGGAACAGCAAAGATTGCTGCCTGCTCCTTCCTCGGGAAACTTTGTCCCAGAGGGGCACCTGCCTGATGCCAGCCAGAGCTCTCCTGTATGAGGTGTTTGTTGACACCTGCTGGGAGGTGTCTCCCAGTCAGGAGGCACGGGGGTCAGGGACCCACTTGAGGAGGCAGTCTGTCCCATAGCAGAGCTCGAGCACTGTGCTAGGAGATCTGCTACTGTCTTCAGAGCCGGCAAGCAGGAACATTTAAGTCTGCTGAAGCTACGCCCATAGCTGCCCCTTTCCCCAGCTGCTCTGTCCCAGGGAGATGGGAGTTTTATCTATAAGCCCCTGACTGGGGCTGCTGCCTTTCTTTCAGAGATGCCCTGCCCAGTGAGGAGGAATCCAGAGAGGCAGTCTGGCCACAGCCGCTTTGCTGTGCTGCAGTGAGTTCTGCACAGTCCAAACTTCCTGGGGGCTTCCTTAACACTCTGAGGGGAAAAACCACCTACTCGAGTCTCTGCAATGGTGGATGCCCCTCCCCTCACCAAGCTCGATCATTCCAGGTCAACTTCAGACTGCTGTGCCGGCAGCAAGAATTTCAAGCCAGTGGTTCTTAGCTTGCTGGGCTCTGTGGGAGTGGGACCCACTGACCAAGACCACTTGGCTCCCTGGCTTCAGCCCCCTTTGTGGGGAAGTGAACAGTTCTGTCTCACTGGGGTACAAAAAAAAACTCCTGCAGCTAGCTCAGTGTCTGGCCAAATAGCCACCTAGTTTTGTGCTTGAAACCCAGGACCCTGTTGGTGCAGGCACACGAGGGAATCTCCTGGTCTGCGGGTTGCAAAAACATGGGAAAAGCGTAATATTTGGGCCAGATAGCACAGTCCCCCATGGCTTCCCTTGGCTAGGGGAGGGAGTTCCCAGGCTCCTTGTGCTTCCTGGATGAGACAATGCCCCACCCTGCTTCTGCTCACCCTCCATGGTCTGCACCCACTGTCTAACTAGTCCTAATGAGATGAACTGGGTACCTCAGTTGGAAATGCAGAAATCACCCACCTTCTGTGTTAGTCTCACTGGGAGCTGCAGACTAGAGCTGTTCCTATTTGGGCATCTTGCCAGCTCCCACAAATCAATTTTAAAGACATAAACCCAACAGAGAAATGGGGAAAGACTTGAATAACCACTTCACAACAGAGGAAATCTATATGGCTGCTAAATGTATTAAAAAGAATGTTTAATCTCATAAAGCAATTGATATTAAATATACAGTGAGGTGACTTTACACACCCAGGATATTGGATAAAGTTTAAAAGCCTCATGATAAGTATTGGTGTGGACAGAAGAGGATGCATGTTATGTGATTCCATTCATATGAGGTTGCAAAAGTGGCAAAGCTAAGCTATGTTGCTTTAAAATGCACTATTTAGTTGGTACAATCATCAAAAAGGAAAGGAAATCATCATCACAGATGTCAAGATGATAGTCACTTTTGAGGAGAGATTTATCATCAGAGACACCCAAGAAGGTTTTTGAGGTCCTGGTAATGTTTTGTTTCTTTGCTTGGGTTGATTTGCTTATAACTAAACAGAAAGGGTAAATGAGTTATGTCAAATGTTATTCATAGGTCAATTAAGATGAGGATAAGACTTGGCCATTGAGTTCAGCAGAGTGGAGACTGTTGTTGAAACAGCACTTTGTCTCAGTGAATGGTTGGGGTAAAGATGGTATTTGAATAGGCTCAAGAGACGGTGAGAGGAGAATTGGAGACTGTATGGCTCCAAAGAACTCTTCCTCTTCCTGGAGGAATTTTTGTGTATAAAGGAGAACTGTGGTGAGAACTGGGGGTGAGTGGGGATGTAGAAAGCTTCATATAAAATATGTAGTATTAGGAGAATATAAAGATAAATGTTATGGAATGCCAAAAGCAATGGGGTAAAGGAAGGAAGATAACTTTATGTGTATTCGGTTGTATGGTTTTGTGGGGGGAGGTAAAATTTATAATACTTTGTAAAGAGAATTAACATTAAAACTATTTTCTAGTCTTAGAAATATATGGTAGAATTACACATAACATTCATATCTGTCAGTGAAAAGAATCATGGACAACATCCTGCTCAACGCCACTTTGCAGAAAGAGAAAGGCAAAAGAGATTAAGTACTTGATCTAAATTGTGCCATTAATAATAATCCCAGACCAAAACAGAGTTCCTCCTGCCCCTTGGATCAGTGCTGTTTTTATAGTATTATCTATAATATGGCTTGCTTTTTAAATTGTTTTTTAGTCATTATATTTTATAGTAGAGTTTATTTGGATATCTCAGTTAGCCTTTGCTGTATAACATACTACCCCAAAACTTAGTGACTTAAAATAGTGGTGTGTATTTCTCATGATTTCATGAGTTGGGCTCAGTTGGGACCATTCATGTGGCTGTAGTCATTGACAGCTCAACTGGAGCTGGAGGGGTTAAGATGGTCTAATTCATGTGTCTGGGGCCTTGCTGCTTTTTGTTGGCTTGGGCTCTCTTATCATTCGGTAGTCTAGCCTGGACTTCCTTGCATGGTAGCAGGAGCGTTCCAAGAGGGTGAAGATGGAAGTCTAGAGCCCTAAACTTGGACAGCATCACAGCCTTCACATTAAATTAATCACAGCATATCATCAATCCAGTCCAAATTCAAGGGATGAGGCAACAGGCCCCACCTCTTAAGGGGTGCAAAATATTGTCATCGTATTTTTTCCATCTGTCATAGATAATTACAAATTATAATTTTAATCATTGAATTTACTTTTTTTTTTTTTTTTTTAAGAGGAAGGCTTTGTAAAATGTATTGTTATAGAATCTGGATTTTATACCAAGGATCATGGGAAGCCATTGATGGGTTTAGAGAGATTTTCTTTGTTTCCTCAGACTGTGTTTTAGAAAGTCACTGACTGCAGTTTGGCGGGGTACTAGGAGTGTAGCTGGGAAGAGGTAAAGGTTGACCTGGGAGTACCAACAATACAGGTCCTAGATAATGATATGAATTCAGTGATTATGGGAATGAAAAGAAGTATTTAGAGATACTTATGAGGTAGATTTGGTGACTGGATGTGGAGTAGAGGGAGGAGCCCAAGACGACTGACTCTCAGATTTCCTACCTGGAGTGCTATTACTGAATAGGGGCCTAAGTGGAGAAACAGGTTTAAGAAGGAAAGTGTCCTTGTCCTAGACTTGCAGCCAAATCCCAGACTCTATTCCCAGTGAGAATCCTGGATCTCTTTGTATTATGTAGTGTTTGAAATGACATTTCATAAAAGTGACTCTTGTTTAGTAAAATGTAGCAATGCTGCCATAACCTGAATTTGTACCTTGAAGCTGAAAGAAAGTTTGTACTTTAGCATTTAGTGATCTGTTACTGCAGTTAATTTTATGAAACAGTTTACTTACTTAATTTTTTAAAATTACTTGAAGAAAATAAAAGCTAATAAGCCATATGTGAATACCTATCTTAAGCATTGTATTCACTTATAAAGTAACTTTATAACCAGTGTTTGTCCAAGTTTTAAAAATAAAGTTCATTAAAATAACTTATAAAAATTATTATTTTTTTGTCTTTCATCACTCTAGTAAGTAGAATGTTTACATTTATGCTAGAGATGAAAAAAATACGTAGGATAACTACTTTAAAATAAGTCCATCTTTCGCCAGGTGTGCACATATATCAAAACATGTTGTATGCTATAAATGTATACAATTTTATCTGTGAATTTTACCTTAATAAAGTTGGGGCAGGGGAATGACGTATCTCTAAAGTGTTCTCTATAGATGAAATATTCTATTACTTTGAATATTTTGGAAGTTTGAAAGTAGTTTACAACCTGCTTTTTTTTTTTCTTTTTTCTTAGGCACTACAAGGGCCCCCAGGGATGGGGAAGTACCAGGAGTGGATTATAATTTCATTTCCGTTGAACAGTTCAAAGCACTGGAAGAGAGTGGAGCATTGTTGGAAAGTGGAACGTATGATGGTATGTCCCCAAATAACACCACCACCCCCAACCCAAAAAAACTATCTGAACGACTGGAATTATTTCAGAGGGAATTTGACCAGCAAAGTACCACTTTTTGAAAAAGTTTTTTCTGCTTTGTTTTTGGGAAAATGTTCTTTTAATGGAGAGATTTGTAATTTACTAATTACAAATGGGATTAAATAATAAACCAAAAAAGTCTGTCATATTTTAAAGTTGATTGTGAACAATGTACTAAAAATCAGTCAAACTGGCCAGTTTATATATTTCATAGTAATTCACATTCATCATGTGAACTCAATGAGTATTTGTTGATTGCTTTCTATTTGTGGTTGGGAATTCAAAATCTGTACTCTGAAAAAACTTATATGTACCTTGACTATCCTGGACAAAAGAGAGTTTAAAATATGGGGAGAAAACAACAAAAACAGAATAATTGGTTTTCTTTTCATTTCTGTTTCCTCTACCCACTTGATTCCATTGATACTTGATATTTGAGATCAATTTCCATTTTTAAATGATTCTGTTAGATCTATTTTTCCCCTTATGTAGCATACTTTTCCCTGGCAAGCTTATCCACTTCCATAGCACCTATGCTATGGTCCATCATTGCTTTTTCATACTATTATAATTGCCTCTTTACAAGCTCTGTGATAGTAATGGTCATGTCTTTCATACTTGATGTTATCTTCAGTGCCTAAAGATAGTGTTCAATAAATATCTAACCTGGAATTCAGCATATTCAAATATGCATTTGTGTTCTATCCAAAAGAGTAATTCTTCATCATTTCTCTCTTTAGCAGCACCGTGATCTCAGAACAGTGAAATCATTATTTACTTTCTCCTTTTTCTCACATTTCACATCCATTTGCCAAATCTCATCATTCTTCTTTTGTAGCTGCATTCACAATGCTCTTCTTTCACCTTCACCACCTCGTTGTAGGCCTACTAGAAGAGCTCATGTGTGGACTGTTGCTGTTGATCTCATTTATTCCCATTTCTTCCACCCTGCCCATTGCTACCATGCTAGTCTTCTTCAAGAGCAGCTCTATCATGTCTCTCCTATGCAGAACCTTCAATGATTTCCTTTCATCTGCTAAGTTTAACCTAACTACCTTTTCTGGGCTTAGCACTCATGACTCATTCGTTTGTTCATTCGTTTTATCCTGTTTTATTCATTAAACAACAATTTATCAAGTACCTACTATGTGCTAAGCTCTATAAGAGGATCTAGGAATACTGCGATGAACAAGGTTAAAGTGCTTTTGAAGTTTTGTTTTTTGTTTTTTTTTTTTAAAGAAGCCCTCTCCCCTTAAATGATGAAGATATTCTACATTTTGTTCCATTAAATATAAGAGCTTGGTATGGACGAAGTGGCATATTATATATTATTTATTGCTGTGTGCTCAATTCAAAGAAAATGCATCATTTCATTTCACATTCAGAGATTGGCAACAATTTTAGTCTGATAATTGAAAGAAATGGAAACTCCCATACATTGCTGGTGAGAATATAAAATAGTATAATCCTTTTGGAGAACATTGTGGCAGTGGCTAGTAAATTTGAAGATAAACATAACTCTGACCCAGCAATGCTCCCCTCTAGACATCTACTCAGGAAAAACCGTTGTGCATATGCATATATAGACACGTATGGGAATATTTGTTATAGTGTGAAACAGTGACAGAATGGAAACAACTCTCCTTTAGTAGAATGAATAACATACATTTAATTTGTTCATAAAAATGGACTGCTATAGAACAGTTCAATGCACTAGATTTATAGGTATGAACATTAATAAGTGTTAAGAGGCATAAAAAGTATAAAATTGTATAAAGGTATAAAATTGTATAAAAAGTTACAAAACGATATTTATATTATACTATTTATGAAAAAATATGTGAAATGTTAGGAAAGTATTCTCTGAAGTTTTTATGAAAACAATAGTGTTTACATGTTATAGATGCATATATACATATCTTAGATGTATATTCAGGAGGAAAGACACATACCAACTTCAGGACAGCTCAGGGAGGGAGTGGCTATACGGACAGGAAGTTAGAGCTTTAATTGTAGATGTGACCATGTATATATATCCTTAAAGAGAAAAAAAAGGGAGATTTGAAGGCAATCTAGCAATAATATCTAGATGATGTGTCTATAAATAAATTGATACATGTACACATATTTATGTAAGTAAATTTTATACATAGATATTTCTAATACTATTCTGATACTACAGTCTGTAATTTTATATATATTTGAAATATTGAATAGTTGGCAGTTCTATAAAAATGAAAAAGCCTTCAGAAAATAAAAAAACTTCAAAACAGCTCTAAAACAATGAAAAACTTTCTCTGTCAGTCATTATAGTTAGAGTTCACAACCCTTGGAATTGTATACTGTATCTGAAAACTTGATATTTACCAACAACTCAAGAAAAATAGATCTAATTTATTTATAACCAATGCTAGTTTTCTTTTTTAATCTAAGCCCTGTAATTATCTTTTTTAACAAGGAAACTGCCCCAAATTATTATGAAATCCTAAAATCTTTTCAGTGATTATGGATGGCAGTCATCATATCCAGCATTTTTATATTTTCCCCTTAGAAAAAGGTTAAACTTTCTCAAGTTAGATAATAATTACCAAGAATTCTCAGTAAGATGTGTTTCTAGTAATACTACTACCTTATTTAGAAAAAGTGGACTTTTTATTTCTGTCATGGTATATCCAGTTTCCTTGATACTGTGATTAATAGGCATAATTCAGGAAAAAGAGAGACCCTCGAACCTCCTAATCCCCAGCCAAATCTCTGTTTGATGTATTTCTGTGCCGGCTACCCCAGAGAAGCGTGACTGGCTTTTTCATTGGTTCTTTGCTTTACTTCCGAGCTAGAAAGTTTGCAGAAAGTTTAGTCTGTTTTCATACAAATCTTTGCATCCATCTGTACGATTGGAGTAACTCCATTTCAAATATGGATTTGGAAACAAGGGAGTAGGTGAGTAGGGAGAGACAGGATGTCGCTGAAAAGTTTTTTAGTTTGATTTTATTGTTTTGTCTTCATTATTTTAATGCCAATTCCTGCTGAAAGTCAAACTTCCAAAGAATTCATGTTAAATGTTTTCCCCCTCAAAACATGCACAATTTAAGGTAAACTATGTAATATCTAGATTTGTTTCAGCATTATGGGGAAAAACCTATGCTACTTTCTGTCTAGGAAAAAACAGTCAATTATCTACCTTATTAATTTACGTTAGGTGAATGAGCATCTTAATTATTTCCTTAGGAGCCAAAGAATTTGATTAGAAAATATGAATTTAGAAGAATCATGAGTATTTTACTCTCTCATCATATATATATTTCTCTAACATTAGCATAATGATTAATAGAATGTCAAAAGTAGTAGGAACCACAAGCTGTTAATGTTGGCTTGACCTGTTGAGTGCTTTCCCATATTATTTGGCGGCCTAGTGGGAACTGCATGACAAATTGAGAAGATACTCAATTGTTTTCATTCTTTTCTGGAACATTTATTTTTACTGCAAAAATTACAGATTCTCAAGAGGAAATTAAAGTATTTCTTGCTTTCCTGAGAGTAAGCCAATACTGAATGATCCTGCTAATGTCTCTATTTGTTCAATAAATTGTCAGATAAAATAATAGAATGCTCAGAAAAACTTTAAAAAATTACCCTTATATAAACATCCTACATTTTTATCTGACCTGGTTAGTTCTTAGCTTAACCTTTACCCACTTACTTCCTCATTTTACCAAAATAGTTCATTGTGTTACACATTAGAACAAAATTATTTCAGTTAGTTTTATCCTCATTTACCCCCACCTTTTATGCCAATTAGTCTTACATGACAGCATCAATGCATTTAAATTCACAAATTGTGTCCTAATTCAGAACCCATGTAAGGCAATCCCTGTAGGAATGAATAATCTACATACATATAGTCAATTTCCTGGCCTTAAACAAATAGTATGAAAATACTAGATAATATATGGTGAAGAGCACTTGAGAAATTAGTTCTTTCCCCTATTTCTGCTCTCTCCTAAGATGAGTGCTTTGGCCTCCTTTTGGCCAATCGTAGATATTTTAATTTTTTTTAATTTACTTTTTATTTTTTTGAGGCAGAGTCTTACTCTGTCACCCAGGCTGGAGTGTAGTGGCACAATCTCAGCTCACTGGAACCTCTGCTTCCTAGATTCAAATGATTTTCCTGCCTCAGTCTCCTGTGTAACTGGGATTCACAGGCATGTGCCACCTTACCTGGCTAATTTTTGTATTTTTAGTAGAGTTGGGTTTCGCCACGTTGGCCAAGCTGATCTCAAACTCTTGACCTCAAATGATTCGCCCGTCTCAGCCTCCCAAAGTGCTGGGATTACAAGTGTGAGCCACCGTGCCCAGCCCTTTGGTAGATATTTCAAAACTCCTTTGTGAAAAACAGGGCAGAGACATACACTAAGTCAAATTGCTCTGACTCTTACTTAAACATTAGTAATTTCAGCTGCTATTTTACTCACTTCAGGAAACTTCTATGGAACTCCCAAGCCTCCAGCAGAACCCAGCCCTTTTCAGCCAGATCCAGTTGATCAAGTCCTCTTTGATAATGAGTTTGATGCAGAATCTCAAAGAAAACGAACTACATCTGTCAGCAAGATGGAAAGAATGGATAGCTCTCTTCCTGAAGAGGAAGAAGATGAGGACAAGGAAGCTATTAATGGCAGTGGAAACGCAGGTTTGTAATAGATGAACAACTTTTAACTGATCTTCTAGATTGAGTTTACTATTACATTGAATTAAAACCACTAAAATTTTCTACAAAGCATATGAAGAGCAAGTGATGGGATTTTAATTTTTTTGTAAAGGTTGTATGTGGAACAAAGTGTATTTCTGTAGACCATCCTATAAGCTAAAGTGAATTTTTCCAATTTGGATAAATTAATGATAAGCTATCATTAGTAATAAAATATATGCAATTACCCTGCTGTTTAAAATACTTGAGATTTGCCTCTGATGTTGCAATATGGGAATCTTGTTGGTCTATGTCTTCCTTTATAGGATGTAAACAATATATGGATGTTTTAGAATGTAGACTTCAGCCTAAACAAAGTAAATAGGGTTTGAAAGTATGCTGGTAAAAATTATCTAAAAGGTTGGTTTATAATATTTTGAATTTAAATTTTAGATTCCCTCAAATTTTCAAATATGAGTCCCTTCATTAAATGTAAAACCAGCAGAAATTCAGTGGGGAAGAATCTGCTCATTTTGAGTAGCCCTAATTAATGTGGTGATTGCTTAGAGGGTTATTAGACTTGTAACTGAGAGTATAACTAGGAAACCATAAAATCACAGCTGAGCTTATTCAGTGGTACCCATTGCAAAAATTCCATTCAGAACACTAGAATGTAAACTTCATAGGGCTAAAGTTTTGCTTTTTTTGTTTACTGTTCTGTCCCTTCCATCAAAAACAGTGCCTGGCATGTAATAGGAACTAAAATCCTCAAATTTGCAGAACACATGTCCTTATCATTTTCCAAAGCACCCTTATCTTTTTCTTCATCAATTATTAAAATTTGATATGTATATGAATGTATTAAACAGTGAGTTAATACATTCATTGTTTATGTCCCACTCCAGAGTGTGAGTTCGGTTTTATAGTCCTAACTTTTTACATAGTTATGCCACATAGTGTGTTTAATGTTAAATGGATTACCCCAATGTATTTAAATGTAAATACTAAAAACAGGTTTTAAAAGGTTTAGGTGAATTCACATCTAATTTTTAGGAGCTACGAAGGGAAGTCATCACACCGTTGAGCCTTTTAATGTTGATACCAGCTCTGCTATCCCACAAAATTAAGTCTGTTAACATTTAAAAATGCTAAACAGCAGGATTGGAGACCATGAATCTTTCCCAATATAGGAATTTATATGTTCTTGATTTAAGGGAAAAGAAAATGTTGTTTTTTTACTTCCTAATACAGAGCCTTTAAGTGATCACTGCAGTTCTTTTAGAGGTAAACTTGTTTGTAATCTCTATAGTTTATGCTTCATGTAAGTCACTTGTTAAACTGACGTTATATACTCTTTGATATTAATATTTAAAGGGAATATATCCAAGGGTGTGTGGGAGGCAGTTCGTATACTACCTCTTATGTATAGATACCATAGGACACTTACATTGAATTACATATTTCTTTGTAATAGAAAATATATAGGACATTTAAGTGAAAAAATACAAAGCACCTGCCTACAAACAGAATTCACCTTCTGAATAAGTATGAACTGTAGTTGTTAGTTAACTAATCAAAGTTGGGGAAATGTGCTTTGTGTATTGCTTTTGTTGTTCTTTGTTTCTTTGGTTGGTTGGTTGGTTGTTTTGAGACAGAGTCTCCCTCAGTTGCTCAAGCAGGAGTGCAGTGGTGCAACCTTGGCTTACTGCAGTCTGTCTCCCGGGCTCAAGCAATTCTCATGTCTCAGCCTCCTAAGTAGCTGGGATTACAGGCATGTGCCACCCTGCCCAGATAATTTTTGTATTTTCAGTAGAGACGGGGTTTCACCAAGTTGGCCAAGCTGATCTCGAACTCCTGGCCTCTGGTGATCCGCCTGCCTTGGCCTCCCAGAGTGCTGGGATTACAGGCGTGAGCCACCGTGCCTGGCCTGTGTATCGTTTTTTAATCCCTGCCTTGAAAAATCAGAAAATTGTTTGGGAGCAGAAATTAGGAGAAGTTAGGTAGAGGTTTATTTGTGCACACCAGTATGTTTATTATTTTATATCTTACTGAAGAAATAACCCAAAAGAATGCTAAAATGGCCTTGTACAATAATATATGTTATGTAATAATTATAATTTTTTTCTAAGAAATGGTTTTATATAAAGAACATCTTCACAAGTCATTGGCTATTAAGCAAACTCCTTTATTCAATCACTTGGAACTTTATTAAGAAAAATATTATAGATTATATACTTGCTTTTGCTTTTCTCCAACATGGTTAGTTGCCAAGAATGTAACTCCTTTCCTGGTTGATTTATACATTAGGTACCTTTTGATTTCTGTCATTTTTTCTGCATACAAAATAAATCATGTGCTTGATTCATTTATTTATTCAACAAGTATGTAGTGAGCACTTACTAGAATACTAAATGCCATTGTGCTAAATGCTAGAAATAAAGCAGTGAGCAAAACGGACAAAAACCTGTCATGAACTATACTTTCTGGTGGGAGAGACAGAACTTGCCAACTTAAATGAATAACATACATAGTGTGTTAGATGGTGCTACAGAGAAAAACAAAGCAGAGCAGGAGGTGGTAAGATATGGTGGTCAAGGTTTGCAATTTTAGATAGTGTGGAAGAAAAGACTTGAAAGAATCGAGTGAGTAAACTCAGGATATCTGGGAGAAGAGTATTCTAGACAGACAGAACTGGAGGTACAAATGCCCGGAGATGGAAACATACCTAGAATATTCAGTCAATAGCAAGGAAACCAGAGTGGTTGGATACAATGTGGACAATACATTCTATTGGAGTGATTGGATCTGGGTGGTGGAAGGAAATAGAATAGAATAGTAACCAATAAGATCATTTAGATAATGATGGGTATGAAGAGGGAGGAATGCATATCATACAGGATCTTGTAGGTCATTGGAAGAATTTTAGTTTTTATTCTGAAATGAGAAACCATTATGGGATTTTGATTCGAAGAGTAACATGGTACAACAGTTTTTAACAGGCTTATTCTGACTACTGTATTGCGAATAGGCAAAAGGAGGACATGGGCAAAATAGGGATACCAGTTAGGAGGTTACTGAATGTGCAAGGAAGAAAGTGATCAGATGCTGCTGATAACTCAAGTAGGATGGAACTAAGGAATGATCATTGGATATAGCAATGTAGAGGTTATTGATGACCTCGATAAGAATAGTTTAATGATAGGAATTTAAAAGCCTTGTTGGAGTGAGGTCCAGAGGAACTGGAAGAGCGGAAGAGGAAGTAGCAAATATAAACTATTTCAAGGTGGTTTGGTGTAAAGAGGAGAGAAATAGGTTGGCTGCCAAGGAGTAAAGACAATTATTTTCTTTCTTTTTTTTTTTTTTTTTTTTTTGGAGACGGAGTCTTGCTCTGTCGCCCAGGCTGGAGTGCAGTGGTGCGATCTCGGCTCACTACAAGCTCCGCCTCCCACGTTCACGCCATTCTCCTGCCTCAGTCTCCCGAGTAGCTGGGACTACAGGCGCCCGCCACCATGCCCAGCTAATTTTTTTTGTATTTTTAGTAGAGACGGGGGTTTCACCGTGTTAGCCAGGATGGTCTCAATCTGCTGACCTCGTGATCTGCCCGCCTCAGCCTTCCAAAGTGCTGGTATTACAGGCGTGAGCCAGTGCACCCGGCCAGAGAATTATTTTCTTTTTACTGAACTGGGAACATGTTTTTATGTGGATGGATATGATCTAATAGATAAAGAAGATTGGTGATGCAGGAAGGAGAGTGAAAGAATTGCTGTAAGCAGAGAGGATGGGATATAATTTATAATTGGAGGGTTAGCCATAGCTAGGAGTGCACGCAGTTCTTCCATAGTAACATATGGTGGAGTCAATGGGCACAGTTGCTGTGTAGATGTGATGGTGGGAGTTTGTGGAAGTTTTCTTATGCTTGCTTCTATTTTCTTAGTGAAATAAGACACAAGGTCATCAAATGAGATGAGGGATAAGGGAAAAGTAGTGGATGGTTTAAGGAGAAAGAAGGTATGAAATAATTATCTTGGAGAGTGTCAGAGTGAACCAACTAAAGAAATATGCTATGATCACCATGATCATTAAATGCCCACTTAAAGTTAGTGATCATGAATTTAAAGTAAACTTGTCAACATTGCCTGTAATTCAGCTGCATATGCTGACATGGAGTAGGTGGAGAGTAGGATTTAAGCAGAGTTCTGATTTAGCCAGGCAGTATTACGAAGTAAGGTTAGGGCAAAGGAATCAGGAATATTTACAAGGGAATAATTATAATGGTTCATCATGGAATTTAAGTTGGGTTAGCAGGGCAATGGGGAAATGGGTAGAGGATAAAGAATAGTGAAAGGTAGTAAGTAGTAGCGCATGGTTAGATAAAGGATGGTTGGAGTTGAAATACTATAGAGAAGGATATCTCAGGATATATAAGATCTCTCTTAGATTCTCTGAATCTGGCCATTGCCTGCAATTTGAAGTTGTCGTAGTGATATCACATAGCATCGTTTAAGTTTTAGAAACAAGTTTTAAGTATACGAATTGTGAACCCCCTAGACAGTACCCAAATTTTAGTATTCTTACCTACATTAGGGCCTTGGGACTCTAAAAGGATTTTAATATTACTAAACGGAATTATATTTAACAACAGGAACTCTATTGAGTGTAATTTTTAAAAATTACTATTATTTAAAGGCCAGTGTTAAATGTGTACAAAGCAGCTTAGTATAGGAGGTAAGAGCATGGACCACTTAGATTCAACTCATGGCTTTGCTGTTTATTGGCAGTGTAATTATGACTAAGTTAACCTCTCTGTGCCTTAGTTTTCTGAGTCTGTGAAACAGGGAGTTTAATAATGGATACTCACAGGGTTGCTGTGATGATTATGAGTTAATTTATAGAAAGCACTTAAAATAGAGCCTGACACATAAAAGGACTACATTAGTGCTGCTGTAGCTGCTGTGGCTTATTAGGATTTATACTGAATTCATTCTAGTGTTTTTTTTTGCTTCTTTCCCAGACTAGCATCAGAGGTGCTATACAGAGTTAGTTGTCAATGAGTAGGGGAAAAGAGTTGAATATGTTGGTTATTTTAAAATTTATAGCAGAATGTGGACATAATAGACAAGAAATTTGCAATATTTACATATTTGGAATTTTTTTAGAAATGAAAGGTGCTGTTTGAAGAAAAATGTAACTTTACCTACTTTTCACACTGTTCTGTTTTGAACAATGGCAGAAAACAGAGAGAGGCATTCTGAGTCATCTGACTGGATGAAGACTGTTCCAAGTTACAACCAAACAAATAGCTCCATGGACTTTAGAAATTATATGATGAGAGATGAGACTCTGGAACCACTGCCCAAAAACTGGGAAATGGCCTACACTGACACAGGGATGATCTACTTCATTGAGTAAGCAAATGTCTCTATCTCTTCTAACGTGCCCTAACACCTTGAGGATTGCCTAAGATTTTTTTAAACCCCATTTTGGACACAAACCTTTTTCAGAAGACTCATTTCTTTTTCTTTCTTTAAAAATAGTTTTCATAAAACCGACAGTTGATTTTTAATCTGATTTAATCTGACACTTCATTTTTATTTGACTTGGATAAAGGAATAGTGTATTTGACTTCTGGTTTTATAAGAGCAGGAGGATTAAAAACAGTTCATCACGAATGGTGAAAAATGTAAAGAATAAAGGGTATTTTGCTTTGCATATTAAAAAACTTTTAGGTAGATTGTCCAGCTTAATGAGGATTTCAAGAATTGTCATCATGAGTAGGAACATATTATTATCTGAATTAAATATTTTCAGTCCTAGAGTTTGAGTTTGATGTGTTCAGGCAATATAGTTGAATGATGTAGGAAGAAAATATCACTTGATGTCAGAGTAATTGGTACAAACTTAAGTTCACAAAAAACACTACTTTTATGAGAAAGCACTATTAATATAGTATTTATAGAGATACTGATTACCACATGTATTAGATCAACCTAAAATTGTATGTTGTTTGTACTAGAGAATAATATTATGCAAATAATTATTGGAAGTTTTATCATGAAGAATTTTTATGTTCTCATGTAGCTGTAATTCTCATCTTAAAGTAATTTGCCCAAAGGTAGAATATTAATGTAGTAAAGTTACAGAATATAACAATTAAATAACGGTTAAAATATTTGGGTCTGGGTACTACACTCAAAGAACATATACTCAGAAATGAATTTGTAGTGGGGATCTTGAATCTGTTTCCTCAGATATTCGCAATTCCATCCCCTTCCAAAAGAGTGAGCGTCTTGCTATACCAAATAGGATTCTAGTTTTTAAAAGACATAGATCTTTGGATGTGTAGCGTTCTTTTTACTATAGATTGCACATTATTGATGAGGTTATACATTTATATAAACATTCGTGACCACAATGATGTAAAACAAGTACAACCAGGTGGTATATTCTTTACTGACAACTTTAAAGGGTTTGTTAAGGGAAATTTAGACTTTTGACTTTCATGCTGACTTTAGAGCTAAACCCCAAAATAAGGTGTAGAGTCATTAGAAGTAGCTAAAATATCTTTAAAAACAGATTATGAGACATTTAATCTGATAGTACTTCACCTTGCAAACAGGGCTAAGTTAGTAAAGGGGAGAAGAATTTATAAAAAGAAATCTTTTTATAGTTAAATATATTTAAATGGATTAAAGATCTAAACATAAGACCTGAAACTATAAAAAGGAAGAAAACACAGGGAAAAAGCTTTACGACATTGGATTTGCCAAGGACTTCTTAGATATAACACCAAAAGCACAGGAAACAAAAGCAAAAGTAGACAAAAATGGACAACATCAAACTTTAAAATTTCTGCATAGCAAAGCAAACAATCAACAGATTGAAAAAGCAATATATAGAATAGGAGAAAATATTTATAAACCTTACATAATAAAGGGTTAATGTGTAGAATATAGTTAAATATTTGCTGCTAGATAAAGCTGTTTTGTTTGGTATAACCAATATGGTTGATCTGTATTACTGCTGCTGTTGAAAAATGCAACTGTAGGAAAATAATGTTCATATAGAATAGCCCCTATGGATATTTCTTTTCATTGGAAAATGTTGGGTAAAATTTTAGCAAATTGCCTACATCTGCTAATTTAGCAATAAAATTTTGGATCATGGGAACCTAAGTTAAGCTTTTCTCAAGTAGCAGTTGTTAGTTTGATTTAGCAAGGTATTTTCGTGTTGTTGTTATTGTTGTTGTTTCCTGACAATCTGCGTGGCTCCTAGGCCCGTGAGTTCTCATCCCTTTCATTTTTAAAATTTTTTCTCAGCAAAAAACTTTTAAGTTTGGGGAGATTATTTCTCTAATAGCTTGAGTAATATAGACTTTCTAGAAACAATCTCACTTTTTTTTACAGAAATTAGCTATTATTCAGCATAGTTAAAAAGTGTTCTGGCCGGGTGCAGTGGCTCATGCCTGTAATCCCAGCACTTTGGGAAGCCAAGGAGGGCGGAGCATGAGGTCAGGAGATTGAGACCATCCTGCCTAACACAGCGAAACCTCGTCTCTACTAAAAATACAGAAAATTAGCTGGACGTGGTGGTGGGCACCTGTAGTCCCAGCTACTGGGGAGGCTGAGGCAGGAGAATGATGTGAATGCGAGAGGCGGAGCTTGCAGTGAGCCAAGATTGGGCCACTGCACTTCAGCCTGGGTGACAGAACGAGACTCCATCTCAAAAAAATAAAAAAAAAATAAAAATAAAAAAAGTGTTTCTATTACATTCTACCAGCTAATATTATTTATACCTGGCAATGGCTGCATAGCTCTGTAAGTAGCTCAGCAGTTAGAAAAGGTATAGAAGATATGATTAATTCCCTGAAACCTTACTGGCTTCATTTTCTAAGAGTGGTCAAGGTACAGATTAGTGAGTTTATCTCACGTTAAACACACTCAGGAAAAATAACTTGTTTACGTTCATTGTTACTAATTAATAACAGTTAATTACTTCAGTTGAGTATGACATTGTATTCCAATAATAACTTTAGGCAAGAGAATCACTTGAGCCCAGGAGTTCAAGACCAGCATGGCAACATAGCAAGGCCTCTCTACAAAAAAAATTTTTTCAGTTGTTGGGCATCGTGGCGCACGCCTGTAGTCACAGCTACTTGGAAGGCTGAAGCAGGAGGATCACTTGAGCCCGGGAAGTCAAGGCTGCACTGAGCTGTGATTATGCCACTGCACTCCAGCCTGTGCAACAGAGCAAGACTCTATCTCAAAATAATAATAATAATAACAATAACTTTAATTTATGTTTTATTCCCTTCCTTTGTGTTTTCTTCCATGACTTTTTCTTTCTTTAATATCCTTGTATTTCAGATATTTAAACTAACACTGTTTGTCCACTGAGCAATGAGATAGTTTTGTTTGGGCATTAGTATCTGCTGCATGGTGACCTGGTCTGAAACTAACTGACTATGACATTTAATGAAATTAAACAGATACTGCTCTCTAAAGTCATCTTTGGCCTATATCATAAAATGAAGCCAGGAGCAGGATATTTTTATTCTTCCCTTTTTTCCCTGTGTGGATCATGCTGATGAAAACTTAGTTTTGTAGAGCAGAATTTATACCTGTTGCTTTTACTTGCATGTGGCAGAAACAGCCACTTTAAAACTCTTTATTTTATTCTCTTTTATTTTAAAGAGTCCCTGATGGCTGGGGCTCTATCTGATTGTTTATTTATCTTTATATTCCAACTCCCAGCACAGTACCTACATATCACAGGCATGCAAGAAATATAGTACTTTTTGAAGGGAAGGAGGAAGGAGTTCAGCCAGTGAGCAAACAAGGTTTTCAGTGCAGTATTGTTGGCTAGATAATGCACAGTATGTGGCTGTGCACCCACCTTTTGAAACATTTTTAACTGCTTAAATAGTGTCTGTTATTCCATACTTGGCATTTTAGGCCTTCTCTAAAGTCTTGATTCTCAAGTTAGTGCCTTAGCATTACCATTCCTTTATGGAAATTTTGAAGTAGACTGAGAACAATAGGGTTAATGAATGAATCTGAGGAATACAAATGGTGCTCTAGGAGATTAATGTTCAACCATCATATACCTTTTAGTCACTTTTAATCTTTACTTTTGAAATAATTTTCTCCTCCTTTATTTTACTGTTTCTAATTAAAATTTTTATTCCACAGCCACAATACCAAGACAACCACCTGGTTGGATCCTCGTCTTTGTAAGAAAGCCAAAGCCCCTGAAGACTGTGAAGATGGAGGTAGAGATTCAGAAACTTTGTCTATCATACTTATTCTCTTAATCCTTTCTTGCTCTTCTTGCCCCAGTAATGGGTTTTCCAAAACCCTAAACAAACCATAATGTACACAAGCAAAAAAGCAGTGGGTGGATATCATAATCAACTGACTGTGGTAATTACATCATTACATCTAACTTTATGAGAGATTTCATTTCTTTTTCAGGATTACATAACTCTCTATAAAAACAACAACAACAACAACAATAAAATACATTTGCCCTTTCGTTGACATCTGTCCCGAAGACAGACTTTTAAAATTCTAAATAAATATTTAAAAATTAGGCACATCCTCAACCATAAGCTAGGTTTATCATGTCTTTTGAAGTTTTTAAAGTATACTTAATTTAGTATACATTACAGTAGATATGCAAGTATCTATAGCTATTCCTTAGCCATTTACAGCAGCAGTAGAAATTCAATGAAAGTCTTTAATATAGGCCCCACACATATACACACTTACTTTTTACTGCTTAAAGGAAAAATTATTTCTCTAAGAATCGTCAGATAATAGCACTTATCTGTCTTGTATATTATAGATTACATTTAACAGTATAGTTTTGAGCTGGGTGTGGTGGCACATACCTGTAGTCCTAGCTATATGGGGAGCTGAAATGGGAGGATTGCTTGAGCCCAAGAGTTTGAGATCACAGTGAGCTATGATCATGCCGCTGCACTCCAGCCTGGGCAACAGAGAGACCCTGTCTCTGAAAATTCATAAATAAACAAAGTTTTAAAAAGAGTAGAGTTCTGTAAATAAGTATAGAATTTATTCCTCCAAAATTGTTTGCGATGTCTTTAGCTTTGCAAATGAATAAAATTTGCATTTGTTTTGTATTACTACTCAGAAACTACATATTAATTGGTTTTAAAAAATAAGTAGCATAAAATGAGGCTCACAATAGTCCCCCTTGTATTGAAGTCCAATTTATAAAAAGAAATTAAACAAAATTTCCACATATATTGTTCAGCATGATTATAAGGGTTATTAAGAGTTTTCTAGGAAGAAGCAATCGGGAAATGGAATTGTTTAAAATTCTCTCTACAGTGGCATCAAAAAAGTTAGATAGCTTGGAACAAATCTTCTGAACAGTGTGCAAGCTCTCAACACTAAAAACTACAAAACATAATTGAAAGACATTAAGGAAGACAAAATAATTAATAAGAGGCTGGTGACATGGTGGCTCATGCCTGTAATGACAGGCAAGGTGGATGGATCACTTGAGCCCAGGAGTTCAAGACTAGCCTGGGCAACAGGGTGAAACCTGTCTCTACTAAAAATACAAAAACTCCCTGGGTGTCGTAGCACGCACCTGTAGTCCCAGCTACTCGGGAGGCTTGAGGTGAGAAGATCGCTTGAGCCCAGGAGGTTGAGGCTGCTTTAAGCCGTGATCACGCCTCTGCACTCCAGCCTGGGTGACAGAGTGAGACCCTGTCTCAAAATACTAATAATAACAATAATAATAATAATAATTGACAAGATATATTATGTTCATTAGCCAAAGAACCTTAAAAGAAAAAGACAAAGTTGGAAGACATAGGGTACCAGATTTGAAGACTTATTTTACAGCTACAGTGATAAAGACAGTTTGGTATTAGCATAAGGATAGATAAATAGATCAGTGGAAGAAAATAGAGAGTCTAGAAATCAAAACACATGTATGTAGTCACTTTATTTTCAACCAAGGTGCCAACTGATATGGAAAAATGAACGTCAACTATACCTCACTTCATACAAACAGTTAATTTCAGATGAATCAAAGACCTAAGCATAAAAGCTATAACCACAAAGCTTTTGGAAGAAAATATAGGAGAGTGTCTTCATGATGTCAGAATTGGCAAAGATTGCTTAAGCAGGCCACAAAAAATATGAACCATAGAAGAAAAAAATTAATATTTTGCATGTAATAGAAACTTTAAATTTCTCTTCATCAAAAGACACCATTGAAAAATGAATAGACAAAGTCACAGACTTTGCAATATATATTTGCCAAAGGAATTAAATTCCGAATTTATAAGAACTGTTTACAATTCAATAATGTTGCCAAATTTTAAAATGGGCAAAATATTTTAATAAACATTTTACCAAAGAAAATATATAAATAGCCCATAAAAACATGAAAAGATATGAAAAATTATTAAGTCATTAGGTGTTTTGCAAATTAAAACCACAGTAATATACTGCTTTACACCCACTACAATGCCTATAACAAAAAAAAAACCAGATGGTAACTAATCTAACTAATCTTGGGGAGGATATGGAGAAACAGTAACCCTTGTACATTGCTGTGCCATTGGAAAATGGTATAGCCAGTTTGGAGAACAGTTTGGCAGTTTCTTAAAAGGTTAAATATAAGTTTACCGTATGACCTAGTAATTTTTCTCCTGGGTATCTACCCAAGAGGATGAAAATAAAAGTCCTCATAAAGACTTGCATGCAAATATTCATAATAGCCAAAAAGTGGAAACAACCCAGCTGTCCATTAACCAATGAGTAGATAAATAAAATGTGCTCTAATCTACAATGGAATACTATTGAGCAATAAAAAGAAACAAAATACTATACATGCTATATGTGTGAACTTCAAAAACCTGCTAAGTGAAAGAAATTAGACAAAATAGGCTACATATTATATGGTTCTATTTGTATGAAATGTCTGGAATAGGCAAATCTGTGGAAACAGAAAATAGGTTGGTGGTTGCCTTGGGCTAAGGGTAAAAATAGAGATTTAACTGTTAACAGCATGAGGAATCTTATTGGAGTTATGAAGACGTTTTAAAACTGGATTGTAGTAACGGTTGTACAACTCCATAAATTATTAAAAATTATTGAACTGTATACTTAAAACAGATGAATTGTATATGTAAATTATACCTCAATAAAGTGGTTTTTATAATGGCCAAAGGATTTATGCACTTCACAAAAGAAGATAAAAGAAGAGTCAAGAAGAACATGAAGAGGTGCTTATCATTAGTTATCACTACAATGAGATACCATCAACACCCACTACAAGGGCTAGAGATACCATCTACATCCTTTAGAAGGACTAAAGTACACTGACGCTCAGCAGAAACCTTACATGCCAGAAGGGATTGGAGTCCTATCTTTAACCACCTTAAACAGAGTAAGTGTCAGCCAAGAATTTTGTGTCCAGCAATACTGAGTTTCATAAATGAAGGAGAAATAAAGTATTTTTCAGACAAGTAAATGTTGAGGGAATTTTACACTACCAGATCAGCCCTACAAGATATGGTAAAAGGAGTTCTAAATCTTGAAACAAAAAGTTGATATGCACCAGAATAGAACCTCTTGAAAGCATAAAACTCACAGGACTGCCGGACACAGTGGCTCACGCCTGTAATCCCAGCACTTTAAGAGGCTGTGGTGGATGGATAATGAGGTCAGGAGTTCGAGACCACCCTGACCAACATGGTGAAACCCCGTCTCTACTAAAAATACAAAAGTTAACCTGGCATGGTGGCGGGCACCTGTACTCCCAGCTACTCAGGAGGCTGAGGCAGGAGAATTGCTTGAACCCAGGAGGCGGAGGTTACAGTTAGCTGAGATTGCACCACTGTACTCCAGCCTGGGTGATGGAGTGAGACTCTACCCACCACCCCCCGCCCCCCGCCAAAAAAAATACAGGACCTATAAAACAATAGCACAGTGAAGAAAACAAAGTACTAGGTAACCGTCAACATGATGACTGTAATACTACCTTGTATCTCAATATTAATGTTGAATGTAAATGGTCTAAATGCTCACTTGAAAGAAAAAGATCGGCAGAATGGATAAAAATTAACAAACCAAATAGCTGCTGTCTTCAAGAGATTCATCTAACACGTAAGGATTCCTATAGACTCAAGGTAAAATAGTGGAAAAGATATTTCACACAAATGGAAACCCAAAGTGAGCAGGAGTAGCTATTGGTATGTCAGGGAAAACAGATTTTAAAGCAAAAACAGTTAAAAAAAAGACAAGGTCATTATACAATGATAAAATGATCAATTTAACTAGAAGGTATTGAAATACTAAATACATATACACCTAACTCTAGAGCCCCCAGATTCATGAAGCAATTATTATTAGACCTAAGAAAGGAGATACCAACACAATAATAGTAGGGGACTTCAATACTTCACTGACATCACTAGATAGATAATTGGAGCAGTAAATCAGCAAACACTGGACTTAAACTACTCTCTAGAACAAATAAACCTGACAGATATTTACAGAACATTCTACCCAAGAACTGCAGAATATATATTCTTCTCATCAGCACATGGAACATTCTGCAAAATAGACCATATGATAGGCCACAAAACAAGTCTCAATAAATTTTTAAAACTCAAAATCATATAAAGTATCTTCTCAGACCACAGTGGAATAAAACTAGAAATCAACTCCTAAAGGAACCCTAAAAACTATACAAATGCATGGAAATTCAACAGTCTGCTCCTAAGTGATTTCTGAGTTAAGAATGAAATCAAGATGGAAGTGTTAAAATTATTTGAAATGAGTGATATTAGCGACATAAGTTATCAAAACCTCTGAGATACAGCAAAGCAGTGCTGAGAGGAAAGTTTATAGCACAAATTGCTACATCAAAAGGTCTGAAATATCACCAATTGACAACGTAATATCACACCTCAAGGAACTAGAGAAACAAAAACAAACCCAAAGTTAGTGGAATAAAAGAAATAACAAAAGATCAGAGCAGAATTAAATGAAACTGAAACAAACAAAAACAGTGGGCCAGATACAGTGGCTCATGTCTATAATCCTAGCACTTTAGGAGGCCAAGGCAGGTAGATTACTTGGGAGTTTGAGATCAGCCTAAACAACATGGTGAAACCCTATTTCTACAAAAAATACACAAATTAACCAGGTATGTTGGTACCCACCTGTGGTCCCAGCTACTCCAGAGGCTGAGGTAGGAGGATTACTTGAGCCCAGGAGGCAG